TTTATCATTGATGTGTTAAGAAACTTAAAAACCTATTCTAGCAAGCAATGTATGATACATTATGTCACCAATGCAGTGCAGTAGATCACTAAAACCTTATTCCTTCAGTCTGACTCATACTTTGTATTCTTTGATCAACATCTTCCCTTTCCTCATCTCTCCCTTTTTATCCCTCTCCTGTCCTAATCTCTGGTGACCATCCTTCTACCCTGTTCATATGAAATTGACTTTTTTACACATATAAGGCAGATCATACAGTGCCTTTCTGTGCTTGGCTTACTGTAATGTTCTCTAGTTTCATTTATGTTGTCCTAAATGACAGAATTTCCTTTTTAGAGATATATAATATTCTGTGGTGCATGTATACCATATTTATCCATTAATTGCTTAATGGCTATACATTGCCTCCGTATCTTGCTGTTGTGAATAATGCTGAAATGAACATGGGAGTGCAGATAGCTCTTCAACATACTAATTTCAGGGTTGTTTTTAGATAGACAAACTGTGATTGAAAATTATAGTATGTTCATTTTATTCCAATAAAAGACACTTTGCCATTAATCTCCCTCAAAATACTCCCCTTTGCTTCAAATACTTATCCTATCATTCTTGTCACTTTCTGAACCAGTTCTGGAAGTCTTTTTTCATAAATACCATTGGTTGTGCTAATTAGCTGCCTTTTTGTCCTGAACTGATTAAAAACGTTTACCTTTTGAGGTCATTTTTACACTGGGGGAGAGCCAGAGGTTGCCCGGTGCCAGATCTGATGAATAAGGTGGATGAGGGCCTACCACCATGTTTTTCCAAGCCAGCTTTTTCAGCTTATGGCACTTGGCAGCAGCATTCACCTTATTTTGATTATGCTACTTAAAGGCACTCACAAAAGAGGTCTTCCAGGGCTGCTTCAGAAAGTGATGGAAAAATGATGGGATAAGGCCAGGGATTTAGCTCAGTGGCACCATGCCTGCCTCGCAAGCACAAGGTCCTGAGTTCGATCCCCAGTACCGCAAAAACAAACAAAAATCAATATGATGAGTGTTTTAGAAGAGGGGGAATTTCTTGATACATTTTTAAAATTTAAACATTCACTGTTTATTTTAATCACCCTCATTTACTCAGAAGTGAGATTGCTGGGTTACATGGTGCTTCTGTTTTAACTTTTTGAGGAACTTCCATACTTTTTTCAAAACTGCCAACTGTATACAAAGGTTCTCTTTTTTCGCCATCCTTGCCAACACTTGTCACCATTTTTCTTGATTACAATAACCAGACTAACAAGCATGAAGTGGTATCTCATTGTGTTTTTTTGTTTTTGTTTTTTGTTTTTGTACCCCGGATCGAACTCGGGACCTTGCACTTGCGCGGCAGGTGGTGGAACCACTGAGCTAAATTTCCAGCCCTCTCATTTTGGTTTTAATTTAGATTTTCTTGATAATTAGGGATTTTGAGCATTTTTAATGTTTGTATTTACCATTCACATCTCTTTAAAGAAATCTCCAGATCTTTTGGCATTTTTAAAATCAGGCTATTTGTTTTCTTGCTATTGAGGTGCATGAATTCTTCTGAGCTAGTACTATAAATGTATTTTTAATTTTTTGAGGTAGATTAAATAGTAAGTGCATTTTATGTGGCTTACCATGAAATATATTTGAAATATTTTGATAGGAAAATGAAACTAATATAAAAGAAAATGGTACAAATAGCATTTTTAGGAATGGGCAAAGTGTCTATTCTGCATGTGACTGGATAAAAGAAAGTTAAACACTATCCCTCTTTTCTATAAGATTGTGTTCTTATAGTTTGGCACAGTGGGTATGGTAATCCCAGGCCAGCCTGGGCTGTATAGTGAGTTCAAGGACAGCTTGCACTACAAAGGGAGACCCTATCTCAAAAAAAAAAAAAAAAAAAGATTATGTCCTTATGTTCCAAAAGAATTTCAAGGAAAGTGAGTGCTTTTTCCTTCAGGTACAGTATAAGTATTATTTCCAGTCAGTTTCAAAAAATGTGCAGTAATCTAAAGAGACTAGAAGTGTGGGGCAACCTTGAGGGCAGAATCACAGACATAACATACTTACCCACAGAGAATGAATATAATTTTCAGACTCATAGTCAACAAGCAAGTGAGAATCACAAGAGAAAGGGAGATAAAGAGAGCTGTAGAAGGGCACTAACATTTATTAAGGGTCTAAAATGTTTTATAATGCTTGGATTCATTTAAAGTGTTGTTTCATTTAAAGTAAATATGGGAATAGAGAGAAATATTGCCTTGGAAGACTATATAGAACTATTAACCTGGAAATGTATCAGGAGAAAGGGCTTGATTGGTACCTTGTATATATAATTTTGTTAGTGGCAAGAAAGATGTAGAAGCTGTTTCCAAACATTTCTCCATTTTGGCCACTAGGTGGTGGCATTGTATAAAGACAGTTTGGTTGTTGCCAGTCAAAATTTGGTGTGGTAGTAGATATAAATATATATATATATTTTTTTTTAATTTAAACAACTAAGACTAAGAATATCCCTTATTTTTCATATTAGTCTCTCAACTTTGTAGTACATTTGTAGTGATTTTATACTCCTTTTATACTCAAGTTGTATAACCTACCCTGAAGTATTTTATGAATACTTCTGTGCCTGATGTTTTTTTTTTTTTTCATTAAGTTTATTGGTACATTTTAGGTACAATACAGTTACATTCATCATTGGGATCTTTTACCTTATGTTCCTGACATTTTCAATGATGATAAAATATATATGACAAACAAGTAAACAAATCTCCCTCCCTTTCTAAAAAGAAATTAACACAGCAAAATAGTATATATAGATGATGTATCTAAGAAATATTGAAAATATATTAAGTAAAATAAGAATGTAAATGTTTGTAATGTATTTATTCTTTTACTGCTTAATGCATAGTTATATGTGTAAATGTGAAAGTTGGGGTAAGAAGGAAAGACCACCCAGAAGTTCCTCTCATTTATGAATAGTTTATATTTTACAGGCCATGGATAACTACATCCCTTGGATCTTCCTATGTTCTTTTCTGTGCCTCATTACCAACTCTCCATATTTTCAAAATCAAAGCAATTGATGAGTAGTGTATTTTTTGTTATGGTTAAAATAATATTTGAAGTTGTTGCCTCTTGAATTAACGAGTCTCTGTTATTGGATTGCAGAAAAAAAGCCCTTCTTATTCCCAAGTTGGAAACTCTAAATGCACTCTCATAGAAATGGTGTTTTTGATTGTAAAGTTGAAATAGTATTAACAGCCATAATTTTAAAAATCAGATTTCTCCTTTCTGGGGTTTTGTGCTAAATTTTCCATATTTATAAGAGTAAATGATCTGGAAATGCATTTTCACTTATGCAAAATAGTAATTTTCAAATTAAACCTGAGCACTTCCTTAAAACCTACCTTATTTTGTTAATCTAGAAGCAATATACAATTGTATATGCTAGAAGTTCTCTTATAGTCTTTTTTAAAGACCAAGTTCTATCTTATGTTAATGGTATATTAATTTTATCATCCCCATTATACTTTGTGTGTGAAGCTAAGCTTTCTTGGTTAGCTTTATATTGTTATTGACAGAATCTTACAGAGTGCCTTGTATGTAGTAGATGCTTAATAAAATATACCAATTGTTTGAGGAAGGCTTTAAATGGTTGATACCAAGTAACATTTTAAGATAATTAGCTATGACTGAAAATTACTTTTCATGCAGAAGTTTTACTTGTAAGTTTTTTAAATTGGCTTTTATAGTAGAAGAATTCCTGTGACCAGTTGTTTGATTTCTGATACATGGATATATCAGAACCAGGCTTTCCTGGTTATAAAGCAACACTAGTTTTATTTTAGAACTCAAAATGCATTATTTCATACCTATCCATAAAATTTAGTGCACATTGGGCAGGGGATTTAACCAGTGGCACCGTGCCTGCCTGGCAAGCATGAGTTTGATGCCTGGTATAGGAAAAAAGAAAATAAAAATAACAAAATTTAGTGCACGTTAGTTAGTTTCATTGTAATGTTCCAAATTCATGATTCTTTTAAGAGTCACTGACTTTGTTGAGAATCTGATTAAAGCTATTCCCTTCCTACCCAAACCCCTGGAAAATGCGTATGTATTACAAAGATGATTCTTTATACTGTTTCAGAGAGTTCATTAGCGTCAGGGTAAGCACTTTTGCTTTAGATTCTGGGATAGATTGCACCTGACTAGTCAAGAAGCATCATGCCATAGTAACGAAATCATTTAATCTGAGTTTTAGCTGTTTTGTATCTTTAATAAATATGATGTCATTTGGAAGGTCATTTAACCTCTCTTTGCCTGTGAAGTTGATGGATTAAAAATTAAATGAATTAGCACGTGCACCATCTTTAGAATAGTACCAAGTACATAGTATACTTCCCAACTTTTGTTCGCAGTCTTTAATTCTATTGTCTCATAAAGAATTTTTAAATTTTATAATAATGCTCTTTGTATTATCTTTCTTTTAAGAAAATTGTTTATATATATTATTACATATATATATATATTTTAAACCTTGAGTAACAATCACTTTATTCTGTTATCTTACATGGCAAATTGTAAGCTGTGTCCTGCTCTTTGGTATCTCAGCACAGACAGTAGTATGTGATTTACTCAAAACAGCCATCTTACTACAGTGCTGTGATTGAAAATGCCAAGTTAGAGGAAATTGTATCTGTGAGCATATAAAAGTAAGTGGAAAAGGGGCAGTTAGAAAATCTATTTCAGGATGTTATACTAGATTATTCATGAAGCTTATTAAAGCAGATGGAAATTTTTCCTTATAATTATACTTGCTAAAAACTTTGATCTTTTTGGAGGTTGAATATATTGTATCTACTGAAAATCTATTACTTTAAATGTTTTATAAAAACAAGATTCTATTCTGTGTCAGCAGCAAACAGGTTGTGATAAAAATGTGCAACTTTTGCGTATTTTACAATAAGATAAAGTTTTTTTTATTTCAATTAGGGAAGAAGACAAAGACATATTTGATTACTGCAGGGAAAACAACATTGACCATATAACCAAAGCCATCCAATCAAAAAGTGTGGATGTGAATATGAAAGATGAAGAGGTATGAAAAACATGTGCTATTAATTATTTTAATTTCTGATGAATGAATACTATGGCCCACAGCATTATAACATGTTTAATTTCTCTTGTGCATTGTTATTCCCCACTGCCTTTTTGTAAATGGTGGGTCTTTGAACTGTAGCTCCAAGTACAGTCTGGTTAAGTGCATAGTGGAATATGTCACACAGGTAAAATATTTTCTGTCTAAATCTAACATATTTATGAGCCAGGCATGATGGTGAATACCTGTAATCCCAGCATTTGGGAGGCTGAGGCAGGAAGATTACAGTGAGTTCAAGCACTTGGACTAAATAGCAACACCCTATCTCAAAAAACACAAAACAATAAAAAGTCTAACATATTTCTAATCAGAGTAGTAGAGATTACTAGCTAAAACTTGGCATAGTCAGATAACTTCCATTTTATTTATGGTAAAGGGAGAGACTTGGCATACTAAAATCTGTAGGTGATAACAAAAATCTCATTATTACAGAGCTCAACATGTTCTGTCCTTATAACACAAATAGGTATATTCTTTATTCAATAAATATATTTCTAAAACCTTGTGTTAGAATTTTGGTAAATCCAATAATTTAAATACTGGCCCATGATTTGTAAAGAGATCTTATGCTGAATTATTTTGTAATTTATTTATTTTATGAATAAAACTGCTTACATATTGAACTTAAATGCCTCTGAATTATAGTCATTTTGCTAATTTAGTAATTTACTTTTTATAATTTTTCTCAGTCTTTAGTGATCCTCTGATAGATTATTGAAATGGCCAAAAGGTGATAATTGTTCTGAAAAAAGTAAAGAGGGATCATAGATAATCTGTCAAATCACAAGCTTATGTACAGTAATTAAGAGCCCCCTACACAGGTTAGCCTTTAGTAATATCTCACCTTTTTCCCCTATAATATAATGTCAGTGGCATCTGGTATTGAAAATGCAGAACTGTAATAAATGCTGCATTATAAGGGGCCAATGATACTGATTATTCTCCACTAAATACTGAAACAAAAAGAGCCAAGAAAAATGTGACTAGAGAAAAGTAGAAGTTAAATTGTGAAAGAATAATTCCAGACTTTCTGATTCCCAGGTGGGGTTTGTGTGTGTGTGTGTGTGTGTGTGTGTGTGTGTGCACGTGTGTATGTGTTACTTTTTGTTTTTTACTTACAAAATACTTTAAAAAAACAAACAAACATGATTGCTTTCTTGATTTTATTGTTTTTATTTTATTGCTGTGCTTTATGATTTTTATAAAATAAGATAGATAAGTATTTTTTAAATTGAAATAATAAAATTTTTTAAAATAAAAAAATAAAATTAAAATAATACTGTTAGTCTTATAACAAAAAGGAATGCTCCCTCACCTGCTCCCTTGATCAAAAGCTTCCAGATTTTTTAGTTTTTCTTTTGCAATTTGCATATATAGTTATAAAAAATATACTTTCATCTCTTATATTTTTAATTTGAGACGTTGGCTTCCATGTATATTATATTTGTATTTAACTTTTTATCATCTTTTTATCATCTATTGTTCTCTGACCTGTTTTACAGTTAAATCACAACTTTTAATTTTAGCTTTCTGAATGAATCTATTGAATTAATTGATATTAATTATCTTAATATGACTATAAATATGATTTATTGCTAGGCTATGAATTTATGTACTGTGTATTTTCAGTCAGCTTTTGCTGCAGCAAATGTTCAGTGACTTACAACAACATACACTTATTTCTTGTTTATATCAGCATCTCATCAGATGAAATAACACAGATGTTCTTATGTGTTTTTATTTTTATGTCTTGCTTTGTGTTTATCTGTGATATTTTTAAAAGTCTTTGAGATCAGTTGAGGCTGTCCTAGGTTTGCTGGCCTTTTGAGGCTCAGTTCATCTTTGGGGAAGATAGGGTCTTGCTCTGTAGTTTTGGCCTTGAACTCACTATGTAGTCCAGGCTGTCCTTGAACTCAAGACAGTCATCCTGCCTCAGCCTCCCAAGCACTGGGATTACAGGTGTGTGTCACTCTACCCAGCTAAAGACTCAGTTCATCTTTATTTCATGTGTCTTCTCATTTAGAGCTACAACTTCAGTAAATAGATACTCTGGAGCAGGAACTAAAAGTAGATAGAGAAAGACCTCACAAATAACATTAAAAAGTTACATTTTGAAGTGGTATGCATCACATCTGTATATCTTCCTTTGGCCAAAATAAGTTACAAGGTTGAGACCCAGGTAATTTTAATTGGAAGTATGCCCTGAATATGGGCAAGCAAAGTAAGAGTGGAAAAGAAATGAATAATTATGTAATTATGAGTAATAACATCTACTTACCATGGTACAACATTTTTGTTTAAGATTTATAATTGCCTATTTTTGTTCTGACATTCTTAGTCTTCTGTGTTCCTATCATTAATATTCCCTCAGTTTGCCCACAAACTATAAAATTTCTCAGTGCAGTCATCAGGAAGGAATCTCACATATTTCTTAGATATATATCTTCTAGAATGTTTCTTCATTCTTCATGTTTAATCTGTACTTGTTGCTATAGACCTATTTCATAGATGTTATCCTGGAAGTTTTCTTTCTCTTTTTAATTTTTTAAAAACTTTTGTTAGTATATATTTGCAGTACATGATGATTACATTCACTGTGGGGAATTGCTACATATACTTAACATATTTCAATTCATTCCCCCCCCCCCGCTTTCCCTCCACCCCACCTATCCTGGGAGTTTTCTTTATCTCTTTCCTGGAAATTTTCTTCTCTTGACTAGATTCTCCTGTTTTCTGGAGGCTATGTCTTTGGGTTTTTTTGTTTGTTTGTTTACTTCCTTATTTTGATAGAATATCTTCTCTAATAGATTGCTCTTTTATTTTCCTGTTTTAGTACAGTATTTATTCTAGTAGGTTCCTGAAAAGGGTAAATGTTTTGAGATCTTTTTTTTGTTGAAAATGAATCTTTCTAATCCAGATGTGGTGGCATACTCCCAGCTCTTGAGAGCCTGAGGCAGGAGGATTGCTGTGAGTTCGAGGCCAGCCTGACCTACATAGTGAGCTCAAAGCCAGCTGAACTACATAGCAAGACCCTGCCTCAAAAGCAAAACAGACAGAACAAAAAAATGAACAAAAAAACCCCAATAGAACAAAAACTGAATGTTTCTGCTGGAGTCCTTGGCATATACCACAAACATTAAATATTTGATGAATTAATGCGTGATTGAATGAATAGATATAAATGACACAATGCAGTATTAAAGAGTTGTACTAACTTAGTGCTTCGCATCTTAGCTTGTCACTTCCTAGCTATGTGACTTTATCAACTTTATGTCTTGGTTTCTTTCTTTTTTGGGGGGAGTACCAGGGATCAAACTTGGGCCCTTGCACTTGGCAAGGCTGACACTGGAACCACTGAGCTAAATCCCCGGCCCTATGTCTTGGTTTCTTAATATGTGAATTGGGGATAATAATAGTCCTTACCTTGGGTTATTAGGTATATTAGGTATATGGCAGGTAAATAGCACCTGAGGTACACATAATAAGCAACACAATAAATGTCAATTTCTTTGATTATTCTTAATATCAATGAAGAATAATAATATAAAGAAATAATTGAAGAAACCACTTAACTTTTCAAGATCAGTTTTCACTGGAAAGTATTGTGTATGTATTATCTGATCTCTATTAATATTTCTATCTTTCAAATTACAAATAATACTTTACATAAGGTGTGTTTTACTTATTACTGATTACTTTTACTTATTACTGATTATGTTTACAATAATTTTCAAAGGTAGATATTATCCTTATTTTACAGATAACACCTAACATTCAGAGATGAACATTTACTTCCTAAAACACATACAGCTGCTAAGTGGAAATCAGATCTGGAATAGTATTTATCTCAGCATTGCATTTAAGAATAAAAAATGAAAAATAGAAGAGGAGGAGGAGGAGTTATTGCCTGTATTACATTCTAATTTGCAAAATTTTCTTTTATAAAACATTACCAAAAGTCAGATCTGCATTGACTTCTGCAGAGATCATAAGATGGACAGCAGTGACAGAATAAGTGCTTAGTACACAAATATCTTACAGTAATTAACATAATTTTTGTAAAAATAAAAGGGAAACATGCAAAATGTATCCCTTCTACAATTTTGTGCTTTGATATAGTACTGCTTCCCAGCTCTTCCACTTTGCTGCCCATGCAGCTACCTTTACCCCCAGCCTGCCAGAATATTGTGTTTCCATGAACAGATGAAGTGCTTACACATTCATAGACTGAGACGTCAAGAATTCAGTTGGGTTCTCTCTTTACTCCAAGCAGATTTCTGCCCTCTCAGCCATGACAACTCGGGCTGGGCTTTGAATACTGATGACAAACCCTTTTATTATTAATCAGGGATTTGTATGAATTAATTTAAAAACATAAGGGAGATGGTAGCTTTAAAATCAGAATCAAACTTAACATCCTAAATAAATCAAATTGTTTCATGACATTTAAAGCTCTAACAAAACAAATTTGAAAAGACTTCATGATGGACGAAAAATACATAACCTCAAAATTAAGTTTTTAGTTTACTTTTAGTCCCTTATCAGTAAAGAAGACATTCCCTTATTATAAGTTGGCTAACAATTGTAGTTTTTAAAGAACATCTAGATCTTTGTTTTTATCTGATATTTGAACTTGAAATATTTCCCTGCTGAATGCCTAGGATTCTTTGAGGTGATACGTTTTTATTTTAAAATGTTCCAGTAGGTTCAACCAATTTTGCCCTTATATTACTAAAATGTCTAGAAATTTAAGCACACTTAAAATTTTTAAGCACATAAAGAAATTTAGTTAGAGCAATAAAATGATTAGAATTCATAATTGTTTGCATTCCCACATAGTCACAAATATAATATTATTACATTATTATAAATTTATAAGTTACTGTGTTTCCTAAAATTCAAATCTTTGGATCTATGAATGAATAAATGTGAGAAATGAC